ATTCCCTATTCATCATAAACTTCACATTGTGCATCCTTCACAATAGAGCCTTTTTTCTAGCAAGACAGATTCAAAAAGTCAATTTTGTAACATTTCTGGCAGTCAGACTGAGGGGCCATGGGACATAGAAAAGCCCACTAGACCTAAGTCCAACATTTTCAAAATCCAAGTGTATTTGTTGATCCTAACCCACACTTAGGAGATCCATTATTGGCCAGTTATTGAGAAATGATTCAGTCAAAAATAAAGCGAACTAACGTTAAATTAGAAATAATCTGGCTTGAAAATTAATCACCAAAAATTACCTTCAGAATTTAACCCTGTGACCAAAACATTTTTGAGGTTAATAAAGATATAAAGCAACTTAAAGAAAGTTAGATTTATAAAAAAAGAGCTTTTGGTATTCATTTTGTCGCAACATTGAATTATAAATAGTTATACGCTTGTATTGCGCAAAGAGTTACATTTAGTGTTAAAATAAAAGTATTTATTTTCGCTTTGAATGAAATTGGATAAAAATTAAACAGTTGATTTAATTTGCTTAGAACGAGATTTGGAATGATTAAACATGGTGCGTAGTGTTTTTTAAAAAGTGCTTAAAGGTGCTTATTTTCGATTTTTTAAAGCCCTTAAAGGTGCTTTTTCATTGGGTGCTTTTAAAAAGTGCTTAATTTTCCCTTTTCGAAAATAAGGTTTTAATTCGTTATTATGTCGATTTTCTCCATGTATTATGCAAAAGCTTACTTTTCACTTTGTTCTATTCAACGCTTTCACATTTCATTCGACCACAATCCGTTTCGGCGTACCGTTGGTCCGTAACGTGTGATAGCGTCAATTATTTTACATGTTTTACATTGTTTTATCATGATCGTGTAAATTCTTTGAAAATTATTTTGCATCTTTTTAATGTATCTAGTCCTTAAAAAGTTCTTAAAAGGTGCTTATTTTTTGTTGAAAGATTTGGCTACGCACCCAGTTAAAAAGTATTATAAATTGATGAAATGAAGAAATTTTAAAAGCTAGGAAATATGTATACCCTATAATAGCTTGACAATATTTTTCAAAATAAAATTTTTCTTAATTAAATATGTTTTTGCTAATTAATTAAAATTTTTAACATCAGTGTCAGGTCAGCTAAAGTATTGCTCTAAGAGAGCAATGCTTAATATAGTTTTGGCATTAACGATTTATCTAAGTGTTTTTAATTTTGTGTTAAAAAGCAAGTCGTTTTGTGTACTTGTATTGAAACTTATAATTTCTTTCAGTACTTGGAACATTGAGTAACATATTAAAGTACTTAGTAAAAGATTGTGATCCAAACAGTGAAGAGCCAGAGGATAATGAAGGCCATGAAGATGAATATGTAGTGAGTATTCTTACTTATCTTGTCAAGGAATGACTCTATTACATTTGTGTATATTCCTTTTTGCTGCAAGGATGGTGTGTGTATGAATTTTGGATGGAAGTGTCTGAACTAACAATATATATATATATATCTATGCACATAAGTTAAAAATGTAGAGAAAATATGGAAAATATTAAAGATTAATGAAGAAAGAAGAAGAAAAAAGATTAGAATAAATACTTAAAAAAAATTATTTTTTCATATCTAAATTCTAAAGGAATGAATTGGTTAAGACTCTTTTTAATGTTGGATGAGCATTTTGATTCGGAAATTCACGCCTGATTAATTCGAAGGATAATGAAACAAGCATAGTAAAAAAAATGTGAACAAAATCGCAAATATGAGAATTAATTTTCAAGCAATTAATAATTTTAACTTAAACAATTTAAATAATTAAAATAATAGCATACCGAAAAGTGCTTTGGTAATATATTAAAATTTTTAATGAAATAATAGTATATTTAAATTGTGAAATGTAATTAACTTTAAAAAATAAATTACATGGAATTGCGAGAGCACCTTTACAATGAGTGTACTACAAAAAATTCTTTAAATCAAATAATCCCCCCCCCCCAGATTCAAGTGTAGAAGAAAAAAAACTTCTCTCAAACTTTAGTATTTTTTGAAATCTAATAAATTAAAAATGCTTTTTCCTTCATATTTGTAAAAGGCACCAGGCTTAAATTTGCAACCAATCACTTAAATGGTTGTCCTATGTTTTTTAAATTTGTTTTTCTTTCTCTGCTAGAACTTAATGTTATTATAAATCTATTCTCTGGATTGTGATATTTTTAAAGACAGTTTTAAGTGTTAATGAAGTTTTTATTGTTTGTAGATTATTATATTTAAATTATAAATTTTTAAATTATAATTTTCCATTAACAGTACAAAAAATAATTTGCTGGTAATAAACATATTTCAATTTTACCCTTTTACTTTTATGTTTATTTAAATACAAGTGGTTTTAAAACTCATTAAATATATATTTAGTGTATTATAATGAAGTGTTTGTTCTGCCCAGAGTCATTTTTTAAAAAAAATTTTAATCTGATCTAAACTACTTTACATTTCACCAAATATCTAATTGACAGTCTTTAAAATCCAGTAAAATGTTGAGCTATGGTTCAATGTCCATGTATTTGGTATCATTTCAAAGGAAATTTTTTGTGATTTATGAATTCAAAAGTTATTTTTTTGATTTATGCATGATTATAGTAAAATTTTTCATAGATAGAGAGCATTCATGATTTCGACTTATTCTATTAAAAAAATTTCGATTTTAAAAAAGAATAAGTTATTAAAAATATTACGATTTTGCGCATAGTTTGATTTATATTGTAAAATTGTACCTGATTTGCTAATTGTAAAGTGATTTCTGTCAAAAAAAATTTCTTGTTTTTCAAGTCAAAAATTATCTCAAATATTTATTTGCCCCCTTTGTTACAATTTTTCTTTTAAGTTTATTTCATTCATTACCACCTTTGCCTTTAACTTAACCTTTTAACTTAATAACTGATTTTTACAATAAAATCTATTAGTACAATCATATTATGTTATATTTTTGAGGAAGAAAAAAATTAACAATTTTAAAGTTTCTCATATAACAGGGAGGACAAAACTAAATGCCCCCTCAGTTACACAAAATTGAGAGATTGGCCATTAAAAATTGACTCTAGGAATCTAAACAAGGGCTAATGCATCCTAAGTCAACTAGTTTAAACCAGTTCTTCCACTATTAATGCACACTTTTTATACAAAACTGTGCCATTTTTTTTATAGTGTGTTTAGTTTATAGTTAAAAGTTTTTTAAGTGAGTAATCAATATGGGAAAACAGCCGCAGAAGGAATGAGAGGATATAGAACTAGAATGTTCCAAAGAACAGGGGCAGATCCAGAAATTTTTCCTGGGAGGGGGTCATGGACTCAGATCCCCCCCCTCACAATTAATTTTTTTATAAAAACATTTTTTTTTTAAATATTTTTTGAAGAAAAAAAAACTGGGGTTTTTAATGCTAGTCTTCTCCTTTATTTTTTTTTTCATAATGAACAATGGAACAATACACAGGGGTAGCAGCAAGGTTTTTTAAAACTTTAGGATAACTTTTTTCAAAAATGTTTTTAATTTTAGGGGTAATATATGATTTTGCTAGGATAAAAACAGATCACATGGTAGTTTATTACATAACAGAAGATTATTACAATTCATCCACACATATCATAAATAATTGCAAGCCATAAAATAAAGCTCTGAAATTTATTAAGTCAAGAATGAAATCTCTAAAGTGTAAAAATGAAATTTAAACTTTACATATTACCTATCAAAAATTAAGTGCATAATTCAGGAACAGGCAAAAGAGAGAATAAATCAAAAGAATAAAATAAATTAACACCAACTTGGAAAAATTAAATATAATTTATTAAATCCAAAACAATTCGTAAATTAAAATGCAACGCCAAACAAAAAATTAAGGAACATTTGACTGACGAAACTTTACGAACTTAAAATTATTATAAGCTATATATATATTAAAAATATTCTCAATTTCATTTCTTTCCTATCCTTATCAGTTTAAGTATACAGAAAATTATTTAATCATTTATGAAGTATAAAAACAGTATCAACTTAAATATTAACAAAAATAATACTGTCTTAAATTGTATATACTTTAAACAATTTAAATTCTCATATCTCTGATGCTTATATGTACTATTAAAGTACACAGAAAAGTTTCCAAAGTTTAATGTCAGATGAAATTGACGGAAATCATGACAAAAATTTTGCTATCTAAAGTCACATATACTGTAAACAATTCCCTTTCTCATCCTCTGCGATGTTTATATAAACAATAAAAGTATTAAAAAACTTGTTCGAAAAATCAGAACAAATAATCTGCATACTTTTAATTAAAATTATTATAATAAATTAAAATTCTATTTCGATTCTATAGTAATTTTTAAAAAAAGAACCGTCCTCTCTAAAATAGAATACTTTTTTATTTGATTTCTACCTTCTTAATCAAAACTTCATCATTACCCTTTACCTTACCTAATTAAGAAAAACTATTGTGTGATATTATTAGATTTCAAATCAGCAATTTATATTAGAAGTTAGAGAAAAACAAATTAATTATGATCATTTTGCTAATATATTCTTGATATGATTTGTGAGATTCTTTTACTGCCCTCAATAGTGTTGTAGTGATCTTCAACACTCCTCCAAAATTTCGAATGGTATCTTTGATTAGTCTAAAAGACATAATAGTATTCTCATGGTGACTCACATTAAGCATTGCTTTATTTATCGAAAAACCTCTCTCAAGATCAGAATTCCCATGTGGCAAAATTAAAACAGTTTTAATTAAGGTAGTTAAATCCTTATATTTTAGATTATTGCTTTTTTATTTATATTTAGCCTATAACTCTAATTTTTTAGGAACACCAACAAAATTTAATCAGATTTTTAGGAATTTTAGGGTTTGTACATAGTTTTAGAAATTCTAGGGGGAATGCGACCCCTGAATACATAAATAATTTAAGTATTCAAAATCTTTAAATAATAAATGTAATGCGTTTTTTAGAAACTATGGCAAATCTGTCAATGATTTTTTTCAACATCCAAATCAGTTTCTCGATGAATGTTTAATAACGCGAGTCCATTTAGTCGTTCTTGATTTTGATTTGTTCTAAACCAAGTTTTGAGACTTCGAAGAGTTGAAAAGGAACGTTCTGCTGTTGCTGCACTAACTGGCAGAGTTATTAAAATTCTCAACAACATATTGATTAATGGGTACAAATCGATGTCACAGGCATTAATAATCTTAGAAAGATCGTTGGGCACTTCGAGTCCTGCTTCTGTTTCACGCTGCCATTTTGCCACCCAAAGACGAAATTCTGTTTCCAAAACTTTTACGGAAGCATTTAAGAAATTCTTATAAAACTCGGCAGGTTCACGAACAGCTGTAAGATCTTCTTCTGTAACAGTTTGATGAGGTAAAAAAACTCGTAGATTAAAAAGTTTCATCACATCTGGGGAAAGTCTGTCCTTTAAATCTGTTAAAATATTATCTAATAAAGGAATAAAAAATAGCCTTCCGAAAATATTCTTCTTGGGTCTGGTTTGGATGATTATTATTTCTTTGTGTTTGTCGAGAAACTAAACGTTTTGGTCGCAGCTCTACATTTAATTGTTCAGCAACGTCTCGAATTTCAGAAAACAGTTGTTGAAAAACATCATCGGCCCTTTTTCTTTTATCCTCGAGAATAGTAATAGTATCAGTCAAAGCGGTTGTGGCCCTTTTTAAGTCCAGGGATGGAGTTTGAAGAAGACGACTGAGCGGTACTGTTGTTCCTGAAATGAAAAATAAAACAATAAATATTATTCACGATAATGATACACTGTAGAATACTAATTAAAAAACGAAAATTATCGATTTAAATTTCTTGAAGCATAATATCTACCTAAGACATCACAGAGACAAAATGTTGAAATGATGAAATCTGAGTTTTGCAAAGTATATAGTAAGGATTGAGCATCTGAAGCTGTTTTAGCATCCTGCCAAGTTGAAATTGTATTCAAAGCCTTACATATCTTGGATAAAGAATCTCCTTGAAACTGCAAATGTCCATCGTGTTTTTCCACCCAACGTGTCTCACAAATTCCTTGGAGTGCTGATCCATCTAATCCATCACTAGATGTTAAGTGTCTTTTTCATGAAGCATTAAAAAATGCAACAACTTTTCTCATTGTATCAGATGTGTTGCGGATGACAGAAACCTTAGACGACTTCGCTAATAGAATTTTTTAAAAGATGGTTGTTACAAGGGCAACGTCTTGCATAAATAGCAGTTTTAATTATTTCTTGAACAGCTCCTTTTGCGTCCGAAGCCATGACAGTACAACTACCTGTACCAACTCCGACACATTTGATTATGTTTACATTAAAATTCCTGCAAATTTCCAAAACAATATTAGCCAAGGCAATTCCTGTCAGTCGAGGTTCTTCATTCAAATCTACAGATTGAATCATTTTGTATGCATCACAAAATGTGATAAAATCCTCTCTGACCTCTCCACTGTAAAAATAGCGAAAAGATAAACTTAACTGCTCCTTGTGAGAAATATCAGTTGTTTCGTCAAAAATGATAGAGAAAATTCCAGCCTGTTTTACTCGATTCAGTATATTTTCCTGCATTTTTAATTTACAGACATCAATAACTTGATTTTGAACTGTTTTACTGATGTAAGTAGCATTAGCTGAAGCAGTTTCCAAGTGATACTGTAATTTCGTGTCACCTGCATCAATTCTAAAGCTCAGAAGTGCTCTAAAATTTCCATCATTTATCACAGAATCTTCAGTTTCTTTAGTTCTGTTGATATTAGATTGAAAAATATTTCCGTCATCCCTGTGTCCTCGTAAAGGTATATTTTGGCGACCACTGGAAGATAATTGTTTTAATAATTGGTTTTAAACGCTCCCGATTTTCTGTAATCTGAGCCTGTCGATGAGTGTCCAATTGATTAACTATATCAAGTCCAGGTTGATGATACGTCAACAAAAAAAATTTTTCCTGCTTCAACAGCCAGTTGATGGTACTGGTTTTGTTCATGAATTATAAGTTTGCCCTTCTTTCCAAGTAAGTCATCAAAGTCCTTTAAAGGTTCTTTTAAGAGAAGTGTTTGTCTGAAATAACCCTTTAGCAAATAAAACACAATACTTGTAATAAAGTCCTTGATCTTTCTGAGATAGAACCATCAGCCAGTGAAATTTTTCCAAGGGGGATCTTATTTTTTAGTTGGTTTTCCTTTTTTATTGACAATACAACAAGGGAGCTTATACTCCGAAGGACGTGACCAGTGACGTTTGAGTAAAGAAGCCTTTTTAAAATCATCTAAATCATTGTCATTTGTATAAAACCCAACATCTGAAAAAAATTCAACTTGTTGCTGCGACTCAATTCTCTTTTCAGCAAAAAAAAAACATCTGGGGAACTCTCTGCATTTTTATCAGTAGAACTTTCAAAAGCTTCCGTCTCTTTTGAAGATGATGGTTGAGATAAAACGGATGAATCGTTTGTTTTGTCAGTATCAAATTTAGGTTTTTTATTAAAAAAAGAGTCAATCGTCCTGACTGAAGGAGGATGTTTTCGTTTGTTCTGCGTCTTCGAAGCAGGATCTTACAATAATAGAGAAATGAATATTTCAGTGATACATGATACCATATATAATTTTTATATATTAATCTTTCAAATTAGCAACAATGAAGTAAAATAATTTTTAAAAAAATTAAAAATAAAAATTATAATATTTGAAGGAATCTTTCACAACACAATGTATTTTAATTTTGATAAAATTTCTTACAACTGTTCAGATAATGTTCGATAAAAGTGGAGAATTTACAATAAAGTTTGTACAATTTTTAAAACGTGAAAATTATATACTGTAAAAATCAAGTAGATTTGTAATAAATGTGTGCTTAACTTGAAGTATAGAATCTGAAACCTTAATTAAAGAATATATGAGAAAAGATAATAATTTCTTTTAAATTAGCTGCTATTTACATTCAATCAAAAATCTTTAAAAGAAATATTTTCTCCAAATTTAAAAAAAAAATATTCTTACATATTTTATTGAAAAAAATTCAGTACTTGGTATAAAAGAAGGTGACAATTTTTTTTTTGCTTAATTCATTTAAAATTCAGCAGATAAACATTTTGTTAAAACTCTGTTTTAGATAACTATTTCATATTAAATTCTAAAAAATTTGTTATAAAAAAATAAACGAATCAGATCGTTAAATTACTGTACTTGAAGTATTGGAAAAATTACCTCCTTTTTATAGTTCGATGTTCTTTGTTGAATTAACATTCGAAATATTTTATAATACACAAAGCAATAAAATTTATCTTTGAATTAAAAACAGAGAATCTGGAAACAGGTTGTAGAACCATTATGAAAAATACGTTTATCTTTGAATTAATAAAAGTAATAACCTAAAAAAAAATTGTTCACACAAGGACCACTCAAATAGATAAATTGTACTCAATTCACGGCATTTAGTCTATTTATTGTAAATTTAGAATATGCATTTTTCAGACACTTAGTACTTACCATCTTGAATTTGATAGCTTCGCATGAAGAAGGGAAACTTCCCGTACTATCAATGCTGAATGGTAACGAGCTTTTAGCGCTGAAGGTGTAATGCAGGAAAGCTAGCATCAAGAGCTCCTGGCGCAGATCATATTTTCGCCGTTAATTATAATCGGACTCGATTTTGCTTTTAAATTTTCTTCAGTTCACAAATTTAGCAGGATTATAATTTATTTTAAAAAAGTTAATATTTATTTAACAAAAGAAATTTTTATTAAAAAATAAAAATTCATTCCCCCTTGAAAAAAAACTTTTTCGATTTGTTATTTTCTCCATTTGTGTGTATATATAAAAGCTGTATTATATATAAAAAAAATTTAAACTACATATATTTAGAGTTTTAAAAATATAAACAAGACACTTGTTTCAGAATTTGTTTTATCTTTATTAACCTTATCTAAAAAAATTCTTTCTGGCTATATATTTTAAGAATATACTTTTCAATAAAATAAAAATCACACAAATGAAATAGCATGCAGTTTATACAATAAATATTTGAACAATTTTATGAAATAAAATATCATAAAATTAAAAAGAAATTAAATTAAATTAAAACCACACTCCATAAATTAGTCACACATTTTGTTACAATTCTAAGTCAGTCTAATCTAATAGGGTTCACATAATAGGAAAATCTACTGAAATCTTCGAAAATGCTTAACTATTTACTTACATTTCGATATTTTGCGGAAAGTGAAGAATCACTGAAAAATATTGAAAGAGAATTAAAATCTTTATCAAAACTGAAAACAAGGAGAAATAAATCAACAGAAGATATGTTATACAATGTGCACTTACTTGTTAGGGATAATTGTCAAATTATTATCGTCCGCCATTGATTGATTTCTCGTGTGCTTCCCTCTCAAAATTCTCCTTCCAAAACTTAAGGATTATATTGCGCATGTGTTGCTGGAGACACACTTCTCCGCCTTACGCGAAGCGCCGGCATGTTGCCAGATTTTAGTTACGAGTTTCGTAAGTTCGGCGCGCTTCAACATTATTAATGTTTACAATGAAACTATGACGAAATTTGTTTTAATCTTTTGGATTATGATTCTTGAAACAGTGAAGAACATAATAAGATGGGAAAAAAATTCGATTTTTTTTTTTGACCTACCTAAGTGTATATGCCCCTTTAAATAATTTTTAAAATATTTTATTTCTTTTGTAAACTATTAAAAAAATTATTATAATTTTTTTTTCCAATTTGGGGGGGGGGAGGTTCATGACCCCTATGACCCCCCCCCCCGCTGGATCCGCCACTGCCAAAGAAAAAAATATATTTATAAGAAGAAAGATAAAGAATATAAAACGAAAATTCATGATAACAAAAGTATTTTGACAGAGAAATAGATAAATTTAAAAAAAAAGAAGACATTAGCTTTTTTTTTTATCAAAAACTCCGATTCTCCAAAAGCTTCAGTTTTTTTTATAAATATTCCGCATTTTCTGAAAATTCAGTCGCTGAAATAAAATAATTATATTTATTTCCGATTTTCAAAGATAAATAGAAAATTTAAACTAAGTTCGTAGCTGCTAACCCTTCCGCATTTTATTTTAACTATTTTCTCCGCTTTTATCGCTCAGAAAATTAGATTTTCCGTATTTTTGCCAGCCCGCCAGACAGCTCGTGTTTTCGTAATTCAGACGTCGCTGCTTCCTGTTTGCTGACGGGAAAGCAAGCGAAATAATAAAAAAATAGCTGTGGATTTGCTGCGAAAATATTTATTTGTTCATTCCAATTTTTATTTATTACGGCTGAGCAAAAACAATACAAACAAGTCGTTTAGAAATCCCAAGCCCAGAATCTGCTAATATCTCGATTCTTATTCATGCGATTTCAATATCGAACATCGATTTTCGCATTTACTTGATTTAAAAGTTGCGCATTGCGATTCTTATTCTCTCGATTTAAATTTCGTACATTACGATTCTCATTTACAAGATTTAAAAATCCAATTTCGCAATTAGTATTTTAGCGCTTTTAAAACCCTATGTAGCGATTCGTATTCGCGCGAGTTTAAAATCCATTATCGTGATTCGTTTATGCGGTTGTTATTATCAAGCATCGATTTTCGTATTTATACGTGATTTAAAAATTATAGATCATGATTCGTATTTACGCAATCTAAAAATTACTTATCATGAATTGTATTTTCCATTTTTTTTAAAAATTCGATATAGAGTTTCATATTTAGTTGATTTAAAAGCCACATATCGGGATTCATATTCTCTCAAACATGCATGTGATTCATATTCATAAAATTTTAAAACTAATCAGCTTCTACTATATGTATATTCATTATTGGATTTCCTATTTTTTTACTTTTTGACTACTCTCATCCCTGCGTTGGGGAGAATCTTTATTTCTAAAGATTGGTGGCAAGGTTCAAACATTTTCCTACGTTATGAAATCGCTACATTATTTTTTTTGTGTGGCTTCCCTTACGAAAATTTTGGGCGAACTATTTGCAATAATTCGCTAACGTTTTGCAGCAAAATTCAAAATTGGGGTTTCGATCACAAATTTAACCAAAAGTAAATTTTGCTTAAACTTTTTATGATTTTTTTGCTGAGTGAAATAGGATAAATTTAGAAAGAAATTGTTACCAGCCAGTGACATTTTTATAGGGGCAACGTTTTCAAAAATTGGAAATTTAAAACTATTAAAATAACTATCTACATTATTTATGTAAAACATTTCTCAAAATATTATATGCACTGCACGATTCATTTCTAAAAAGCTTAAAAAAATTTCTATACATTTTTAATTAATTTTGTTAAAAATTTAAGCATAGCATAAATAACGTTTTCATCTCATAAAATTTAGGGCTTAATCTTTTAAACCAGTAATGCTAGATACAGTTTGTGTTAGTTTGGAGTCGTAAAGTTTATTAGACACTAAACAAAACTGATATTATTGGGATTAATATAGCGCCATATGTTTCATTACATGACTTTTTCATCATCCATAAATTAAAATTTGATGTGAATTTAACGAAATTCAATTCCCTTAAAATGCTGATCTAGTGTAAAATAAAATTGTTCGGAGTTTCATTATTCAAAAAAGAAAAAAATATTAAAAATGATTAAAATTATTAGTGAAAAATGCAAAACGAAGAAAAATAATTCTTCATTCTTAAAACAAAACTTAAAAGCCGAAAATTTTCGAAAAAAACAAAGAAAGATAAAGTCGGTAAAAAAAAAAATAACATAAATGCACCTGAATAAAATCGCTGTCAAAAACAGTAATTTAAAATTTAATTTTAATAAAAAAAATCGCTTTTTTTAATTCTTAAACGAAACCTTTATCACTGTAAATCTCGGTTTTTAGATAAAAGAAAAATTTTATTCGTCATTGAAATCTTATATGGTAATTTTGTAACATCCAAAAATTAAATAATTCTTCGGAGACCAGGATAGCCTGGTTGGTAGAGGTTTGGGACCATGTTTAAGTGGCCGTGAGTTTGATCCTCGCCAGCCGAAGACTCCCCGTTTAGTAAATGGTGACTGGTGCACGTTATCTCGGTTCGGTCACAAAATCCTCAATTATTCCGTAACAAATCAAACTTTTGGCGGAAATGAATTGTAGCTAGATTGTTCTCTTTTTCAGGTCAAAGTTATGATCTGTGGATGAATGAATGAATGGGTTCACCCTTTAAACGGGCTGCGACGTGTGTGTGTCTGAAATAGAATTCTTGGACATAGAAGGCGTCACTGAAAAACAAGAAACACACCTCTGGTTTAAAATTCGCTTGGTTTCACCCAGCAGGCTTGCTGGTATGGGCAAGTGGAATTAGGAACAACAACAATGCGGGCAATGAAATTTTCCGTGAAAATAATATCGTTCTTGCGTAATAACTGAAGTCAAAATCAATGATTTTAGAGCACATGGTGCAAATTTGGCTAGAAAAAGTTGCGTCAAATGGCGAATGGCAGGCAATTGTTTAATATCCATATATTTAGTCTTCATGCGGAGGTGTCCACTGTTAATTAATCCGTACACTTAGGAGGGCCAACTTTGGTTGACTTGGGAAAGAATAGGTATTGCAATAATATTGTAATACAGTGTAGTAATAAAATGTTTCTTAGAACAAAGAAGTAATAGTGTTCACATATTCATTAGTGTCGTAAATGTATTATTGTTATTTTAAAAGTCTGATATTTTATGCATATCGTATTGATTATTTTGAATTTTATAGGACAGTATGTTGTCTTTATGAAGGAGAATAGTATTGTGTGATTCATCATAGCTCTGGTAAGAATTATATTCTGGTGCTTCAACAAATTTTTAGGCCGTTCAATAAATATAGCGAAATCACCTTAAGTCTAAAAGGGATTTGGGATTTGCTCACATTTTAGGGTAAAGAATGAAAAAGGTTATGAGCGATGTCTGATAAAAAAAGATTGAAAAAAACTCATACTCAAATTTACTAATTAATGTATCATAATTAATGTTATGAATACTTCAAACGCATTTTGTATTTAAATAACGTGTAACTTTCGTTTAAAGTTACAAATAAGCCCCCTGATAGTTTGGTTCCTGGAGTCTTCAAATTTGTAAAACGATTCCTAGATAGAATCATTGTTGACATGCGACACTAAAATCCCGTTATTTTTATTTCGGGTCACGAGATACTACAATGGACTTACGTTTGGATGTCAAATTCTGATTTGTTGTTTCTGGATCATAATTTAGCTAAAACGTTTTAGCCATAATTTTTTGGTGGGAATATCAATGGAACTTTTTTACTGATTACCTACCACTAAATATTTCCTACCACTTTTGAATTCAACCTCTTAGTTTCTTGAACGAAAGTTACCTAAAACTTGGTTTGCAAAGTTTTTTTCTTTTAGAACAGCTAACGATTTCTTGTGGTTTCGTATATTTTAAGTCATTCATTTAAGAAATTTATATTGGCCATAACTTTTTCTGGTGGGAGAACTAATGATACGTTTTGTTAACCTCTTAACTTGTGTGCTCGAGTTAATTCGAGCGCGCTAAACAGGCCAAACTGTACACACTCGAGATAATTCGAGTGGCGTTGTATTTTATGCTGCTATTATTTTTCACACTCGAATATAATCGAGAATTGAAAATGCGTTTTTTCTGTGTTCTAATGTATTCTAAAGTGAGTTTTTTCATAAAAAAGTTTGCTTTTTTATTTNTTTTTTTTTTTTTTTTTTTTTTTTTTTTTTTTTTTTTTTTTTTTTTTTTAAATCTGTGAGTTAAGGGGTTAAAGCAGCTTATGCTCTAACAATTTTCTGAAGTGAGCCTATTTTTTCGGCAAAATTTTTTTCTAGATTAAAACATGCTAAAACTTGTTTTAGCCATTATTTTTTCTAGGTGGGATTATGAAAATTTTTGTTGCGCCAATAGTTTCTTACAATTTTTGGCAAAATATTAGTTTTTATGTAATAAATGAGCTAAAACTTGTTTTGACCATATTTTATTTTATTGATGGATGGGCTAACAAAACTTTTTGTTAGGATAGCAATTTCCTGCAATGGGGAGGGGGGAGAGAGGTAAATATTTGAAGGCAGTATTCCAAATTTCTAAGCAAAATTTATCTTACGCTTATATTAGGTTATTCTATGACCTAAATTTGGTTGATGGGCTAATGAAAATTTATTTTCGTTGGGATGACTTCCGAAGGTGAAATTAAAACTTGCTGTTTCTAGGTAAAAATTAAGGTAAACTTTGCTACGATTGTTTTTGGATGGTTCTTTTAGTTTGCTATGATGGGCAAACATTTGAGTGCGAAGTTTAAGATTGTAGTTTCTGAATAATAAATTAGCTGAAATTTGTTTTAGTCGAAACTAATTTACGCCAGCT